CCTCCAGTCCCTTACACCCCCTCCCTATCTCTGTTACTTCCTCCAGCTCCTACACGCCCTCCCTATCTCTGTTACCTCCTCCAGCCCTTACACGCCCTCCCTATCTCGGTCACCTCCTCCAGCCCCATACACCCCCTCCAGTCCCTTACACCCCCTCCCTATCTCTGTTACTTCCTCCAGCCCCTACACACCCTCCCTATCTCTGTTACCTCCTCCAGCCCCCTACACTCCCTCCCTATCTCTGTTACCTCCTCCAGCCCCTACACCCCCTCCCTATCTTCCTCACCCCCTCCAGTCCCTTACACCCCCTCCCTATCTCTGTTACCTCCTCCAGCCCCTACACCCCCTCCCTTTCCCTGTCACCTCCTCCAGGCACTCGCTATCACTCGAAACGGGAGTGAGGTAGGTGCTGCGACACATGTTGAGGGATGAGGAGTTGCTGGGGCTGTGATAGATGGTGACAGATGACAGCCGTACGCCCTCCCTTGCAGACTCTGTGTACGTACGATGGGGGTGATGAGGATAACTTCCACCTGATTTGCCCCGGGCCCGTCGAGGGGAAGTCCTTCCTGAACCGGAACCCAGGAAACGACAGGAGAGCACGTCGGCTGCCACCAGCCGCTGACATTTGGAACAGCCTAAAGATCGAACAGTTCGATGCCTTTCCATTCAACCAGTACGCCCCATTCAGTTTCCGCAACACAATCGAAGGTAAGGCTCACCTTCCCTTATTCATTCGTGGGATGAGGGTGTCGCTGGCTCAGCCACCATTTATTGTCCATCCCTAATTGCCCAGGAGGCAGTTCAGTGTCAAACACATTGCTGTGGGTCTGGAGTCACATGTAGGCCAGACCAGGTAATGATGGTAGTTTCCTTCCCTAAAGGACATTAGTGAACCAGACGGGTTTTTCCGACAGTCGGCAATGGATTCACGGCCATCGTTAGATTCTTAATTCCAGATATTTTATTGAATTCAAATTCCACCATCTACGGTGGCAGGATTCAAACCCAGGTTCCCAGAACATTATCGGGATCTCTGGATTAATAGTCTAGTGATAATACCACCAGGCCATCGCCTCCCCTACCTTATCTCCGCAATGTCCCCATCATAGGGACAGCAAGGGGTTAGATACAGAGTAAAACTTGTTGTACATTGACCTCCCCATCAAACACTCCCAGGACAGGGGCAGCACGGGGTTAGATGCAGAGTAAAGCTGCCTTTACAAGGTGACGGGATGGAGGGAGTGATTGGGAGTCTGTTATCTCTGCCCTCGAGTCCCTGCTCACTCTGGTCTCTCTGTCTGCCCTCGGTAGGCTTTAAAGAGGCCAGTCACCCAGGCCGCGAAACGATCGGACTCCATAACCAGGTCCACGTCTACCTCAATGGGACCATCTCGCAGGTCCCAGCTGCATCGAATGATCCCATCTTCATGCTACATCATGCCTTCATCGACAAGTAAGTGACAGGGAATGTACACTGGACGGTGGGATACCGGGACATGGTCTAGATCTCCTCACTCCCACTCCCCGTGTGTAACCCTAACCCCTCTCCCTCCACTGTGTGACTCTCCCTGCTCTCTCGCTCTCTCTCTGTGAGGGTGTTCAGTCACTCCCCTGCTCTCTCTCTCTGTCTCTCTCTGTGAAGGTGTTTTGTCCCTCTCCCTGCTCTCTTCCCTCTCTATCCACACCCCCAACCCCTCTCTCTCTCTCTACCCCCACAAGGGGTGATCTCTCACACTCCCGGCCCTCTCTCTCTTTCTGGAGATGTTTTGTCCCTCTCCCTGTTCTCTACCACCCCTCTCTTTCTCTCCCTCCCAGGGGTGTTCTCTCAGTCTCTCTCTCTCTCTCTCCCTGTGACTGACTGACCTATTTTCCCCCCTGTCTTTGTTGAAGGATTGTGGAAGATTATCTGCGAGCTGACAGGAGGCGCCTGACAATGTATCCAACACACCAGAGAGTTCCCCAGGGCCATCGTGCCAATGACTACATGGTTCCATACCTGCCGCTGGTACGCAACATTGAATACTTTACCTACACCATCAACCTTGGCTACACATATACAAATGCTGCATATACTCAAGAGGACAAATTCTCCAAGTCCTCTCTTTTCAAATAAAGGTCAGATCTCCGAAGTCTGTGCAAGTAGGAGCCAATGTATTGTATTCCTAGCTCTTGCAGCCACCGCTGTGCATGGTGACATGGGGAGCACAGTTATTGTGTGTGTATCTGTATATACGTGAGTGTGTGCGTGTGAGAGAGAGAGCACGAGTGTGTTCATGTGTGAGAGTGTGCGTGTGTGAGAGTGTGAGATATGTGTCTGTGTGAGAGAGTGTGTGGGTGCAGTGTGTCTGCATGCGTGTGTGTGTGCATGCGAGAGAGCGTGTGCGTGCGTGTGTGCGTGTGCGTGTGTATGCGAGAGAGCGTGTGCGCGCGCATGCATGTGAGAGTGTGTGTGCGCGCATGCGTGTGTGTGTGCGCACGCAAGAGAGTGTGACAATGTGAGTGTTTTTGAGTGTGAGAGAATGTGTGTGTGTGAGAGAGTATGACAATGTGAGTGTGTGAGAGTGTGAGAGTATGTGTCTGTGTGAGAGAGTATGTGAGAGTGTGTGTGTGTGCGCGTGTGCGTGCGCGTGCGTGTGTGAGAGAGAGAGACAGAATGTTAGTGTATGTGAGAGAGACAGGCTCTGTGTGTTTGTGTGTGTGTGGGAATGTTAGTGTATGTGTGAGAGAGAATGTTAATGCATGTGTGAGAGACAGGCTCTGTGTGTTTGCGTGTGTGATAATGCTAGTGCATGTGTGAGAGACAGGCTCTGTGTGTGTGTGTGTGTGTGTGTGTGTGTGTGTGTATGTGTTTGAGAGAGAGAATGTTAGTGCATGTGTGTGAGACAGGCTCTGTGTCTTTGTGTGTGTGTGTGAGACAGAATGTTAGTGCATGTGTGAGAGACAGACTCTGTTTGTGCGTGTGCATGTGAGAATGTTAATGTGTGTGTGAGAGACAGGCTCTGCGTGTTTGTGTGTGTGTGGGAATGTTAGTGTATGTGTGTGAGTGTGTGTGTGTGTGAGAGAGAATGTTAGTGCATGTGCGAGAGACAGGTTCTGTGCGTTTGTGTGTGTGTGAGAGAGAATGTTAGTGCATGTGTGAGAGACAGGCTCTGTGTGTTTGTGTGTGTGAGAAAATGTTAGTGTACGCAGGTAAGACTGTGTGAGAATGTGAGCGTATGTATGTGAGACTGTTTATGTGAGAATGTGTTAGACTCTGCGTGTGTGAGAATGTGAGTGTTAGTGTATGTGTGTGAGACAGGCTCTGTGTGTTTGTGTGTGTGTGAGAGAATGTTAGCATTTGTATGTGTGAGAGTATGTTAGTGTATGCATGCAAGACTGTATGTGAGAATGTGAGCGTATGTATGTGAGACTGTCTATGTGAGAATGTGTTAGACTCTGCGTGTGTGAGAATGTGAGTGTATGTATGTGAGAGTGTGTGTGAGAGAGAGAATGTTAGTGTATGTATGTGAGACTGTTAGAATGTGCGTTAGACTCTGCGTGAGTGAGAATGTGAGTGTATGTATGTGAGAGTGTGTGTGAGAGAGAGTGTTAGTGCATATGTGTGAGATTCTGTGTGCATGTGAGAGAGAGAGAGAGAATGTGAGTATGAGTGTGAGAATGTGAGTGTGCGTGTGAGGGAGAATGTGAAAGCGTGTGTGTGTGCGAGAGAACGTGTTTGTGAGAGAGAATATTAGTGTATGCACGTGAGACTGTGTGTGTGCGTGTGTGTGTGTGTGTGAGAGAGAGGGGGAGTGTGAGACATAAGAACATAAGAAAAATAAGAGCAGGACTAGGCCATCAGTAAGACCTTGGCTGATCCTTTTGTCGAGGAAGCTCCACTTACCTGCCAACTCACCATAACCCTTCATTGCTTGACTGTTCAAAAATCTATCATTGCCTTAAAAACATTCAGCGAGGAAGCCTTAACTGCTTCACTGGGCAGGGAATTCCACAGATTCCCAACCCTTTGGGTGAAGATCCTCCTCAGCTCAGTCCTCAATCTGCTCCCCCTCCCCCTTATTTTCAGGCTGTGCTCCCCCACCCCACCCGCAGATGTAGTTTCACCCGTCAGTGGGAACAACCTCCGTGCTTCTCTCTTATCGATTCCCTTTTTAAGAAACTGTGTGCGTGTGTGTGTGTGTCCACATCTGCAGATCAGTTTGCCTGGAGGAGACCACACATGTCTGAGCAAGAAAAGGCTAAGCACATGCCTGTGCAATGTTGTTCGGTTCACGGCTCTGCTGTCAGACGTGTGCGTGTGTGAATACATTTTGAGGTGAGAGAGTGTTTGTGTGGTTAAACCCACTTCCTGTGTAACAGGCTGCTGAGGTACTGTTAGAGACACAGCAGTATGAGGAGGCGAGTCAGCCCCCTCCTCGAGCCTGTTACACAGGAACAGGAGGCCATTCAGCCCCCTCCTCCAGCCTGTTACACAGGAACAGGAAGTCATTCAACCCCACTCCCCTCTCGAGCCTGTTACACAGGAACAGGAGGCCAGTCAGCCCCCACCTCGAGCCTGTTACACAGGAACAGGAGGCCAGTCAACCCCCACGTCGAGCCTGTTACACAGGAACAGGAGGCCATTCAGCCCCCCTCCTCAAGCCTGTCAGATAGGAGCTGGCGGTCATTCAGCCATCTCTTGTGTCTGTTACACCAGCACAAGAAGTGCCTGGTCTGTGAGCTGACCTCCATCTCCCCACCATGACCCCATCCCACTCCCTTTGGACAACACAGACCAAACACCACCATCAAACACTCACAAGCCAGGGACAGCACGGGGTTAGATACAGAGTAAAGCTCCCTCTACACTGTCCCCCTCCATCATACACTCCCAGGGACAGCACGGGGGTTAGATACAGAGTAAAGCTCCCTCTGCACTGTCCCCCCCATTAAACACTCCCAGGGACAGGGACAGCACGGGGTTAGATACAGAGTAAAGCTCCCTCTGCACTGTCCCCCCCATCAAACACTCCCAGGGACAGGGACAGCACGGGGTTAAACACAGAGAAAAGCGTACATTATCCCCCCGCATCAATCACTCCCAGGGACAGGGACAGCACGGGGTTAAATACAGAGAAAAGCTCCCTCTACATTATTGCCCCCCCAACCCCCATCAAACATCCCAGGGACCGGGACAGCACGGGGTTAGATGCAGACTAAAGCTCCCTCCCGATGTGTGATTTCTGTCAGAGGGTATCAGTAACACTCGGCCGAATCTTCGGACCACATGGATGCACTGACCTTTCAGCGTGCTGGGGTCCTGAGGTCAGAATCCTCCTCAAGCCCAAGGGGAGTGAAAGCTCCCCCCCACCGCTTCCTCTCGGAGCGGCTTGGCGACACGGCCGGGAGGCGAAAGCGTCAACACCCAGGACGTCCGTCCAATATCTCTGTCTGGCATCGGCACCTCGCCTTGGCATGACCTTCTGGAGCCAACAGTGCTCCTCCTCCACTTTCTCTGTGCTTCTCTCTCTCCGTTTCTCCTTGTCTCTCTCCGTTTCTCTCTCTCTCTCTCTCGGTCAGTCTGGAATGACCGCCGTGCTGCACCGCACCACCGCCAACCTCCTGTGTTGGCGCCGGAAGGGCTCCATCTCACTGCCCACCCGAACCCCCCCGCCCCGCTTCGCTCGATGGGGTTGGGGAGGGCAGGGACGGTACGGTCACCGCCCCCCCCCAGACCGTGACCCCCTTCGGAAATTGGCTTCCATGAGTCATCCAAGGGAGGGCGTCCGAGGCAGAATCAGCCGGCCTTGCGTCTCGGGGCCTTCCACGCTCCCTCGACGACCCCAATCCGCCAACAACAACGCCCTCCCACTCCTCCTCGGTCACGTCCCATCGTCCTCATCCCTGCGAATGGTTGATAGTCGAGGCTTCCAAGGGCGTGGGAGGGAGGAGGGGGGCTTAATTCTTCTTTCCTGCCGCATCCACTTGGCCTCCCCTGAGGAATTTGCACAGGGACGGCAGTGACATTTGGGTGGGTGGGGGGGTTGAGGGCGAAGGGGGTCGGACTGGTTGGCGATCGGTTGGCGTCAAATCCAATACCCGCCACTGCCTTGTCTTCCTTTCCATTGGCCAATCTCAGGCTCGAACCCAACGGTTCAGCCTCGCCGTGGCGTGTTTTTGGCGAATGGTGTGTTTTATTTGAGCTTTTTCTCCCCCCACTGGCTCAGTGTGGTTCAAGTGCTGCCAACCATGGCCATTATCCAAGATGGCGCCCCTTCTTTCAGCACGTTTCCAAAAGGCTTCGACGGGACGCATGCGGCCTCGCAGGGTGTTGTGGGGGCTGTAGTCCGTCGGCTGCCCTCATAAGCACAGCAGCGGACGAGCGGCTGCTGCGGTCATGCACCACAACTCCCGGCTATCACCGCGTCCGTTGCCCGTTGACGGAAGCCGGGCGGGGCAGAGCGGAGTTCGCCGGGTTTTGTAGTCCGTTGGGTGACGTCACCCCGAGTAAAAGTACAGAGCGCTGCTGGATGGAAGACTACAAGCGCCTGCATCCCTCACGGCACGCTCGCCGCCTTTCGCGCCGTTCGCCCGACGCAGGGGTCTGAACACTTGTACGAATGGAGCGCCGAGATCGCCGGGATGTGTAGTCCGCTACGTGACGCCACCAAGACTAAGACTACGGGATGGCGTGCAGCGGGAGACTACAACCCCCGACGATCCCCACGGCCCCGCCGACCCGACTTGTTTGCCATTTGCCCGGACGGCGTGAGGTCTGCTGGGAATTGTAGTCCGTCAGGTGACGTCATTCAAACCACGACTAACTGGGTGGCGGCGGACGAGAGACTACAACTCCCGGCGACCAATCCGCCCCCCAACCCCTGTGAGGGGAGGACAGTTGGCCCTATCGCTTTTGAAAAAGCAGCCGTCGTCCGATTACTACTCCTACTACAACAACAACAACAAATGACCGGCAAAAGTATAAAGAGCCGCAACGCGGCCAACGCCGAGAGGGGATCCGAGTCGGTGAGCGAGCGGGTCCTCAGGGAGTGCCACTCGCTGTACGGAGAGCCCGGCACCGGTAAAAGTCTGGAGTTTTAAAGAAACATACACATTGTGGTTGAAAGGGTGCAT